TTTTTTTTTTTTTTTTTTTTTTCTTATGGGTCCTGGTTAAAGGCATGTTTTTTCTGCATATCTTGGTCTGAGTTGGTTTGTGATAGATTGATCCTGGTGTGGGTCCTCTGTTTTGGGTGGTTGTCGTTGTGTGCTCCACTTCTTGGTGCTGGGGTGGGTGGTATTGTGATTGGGGTTGGGCAGTTCCGCTTATTAATTTGTTTCTCAGAAGATGGCGAAAAGCATGCGTTCGAAGTTCAAGAGGAAAATGCGTGGCATAAGGCGCAAGAGGTTGGCTGTTCGAGAATTGAAGAAGTTGGAGGCTACGGTGTCCAAGTTGAATGCTAATGAAGGTATTATTTTTTCCTATGCACTGAACTCGGCTCTTGTTCTTTGTCGTATGGACTTTGTGTTTTGTGTTATGCTTGCTAACCGGTATCTGTTCAGCTATGGAAGTAGTCAGGCAAGGTGCTGGAAATTGCGATTCTGAAGAAAAAGTGGGTTTTGTTTGTTTTTATTTACATGTAGCAGTTCCTTTCTGAAATGACATTTGATGATCATCTCATTTCCTCTTATGGAATTAGGGGATTTCGCAATGAGATTTAGTGCTTTTCTGAAATAAATTTGGTGTAGTTGATTGCATTTCTAGGCTCAGGAAGGCTTATCACGTAAATTTAATGGTACATGATGAAAAATATAGACCTTTGAACATCACTTTTAGCGTAAAAAAAGTACCAGTAAAGAGCTGAGTTTCAATGTGCAGTTAAATTTGGCGATAATTTAAATAAATAGAGTATTTTCTAAATAGATCTCCTCATATTTTTGCGATGACTATGGTAAACAGTTCTGTCATTGAAATCTTGGTGCGTTTCAAAGTGGCTGTTGTATTTTGTGTAAGTGAGGTTTGCTCGTAAAATATTTAGTTTTACCATATACGCGTGTGCGTGGAGTTAAGCTCGTTTTAGATGGATACTGGAAAGGTTGGGAATATCAACTTAAAAACTATGCAGAAGAAGGATGGATCGTATCCGGTGTGGGTCAGTCGAAGAAAAATCCGAAAGATGAAGAAAATTCGGAAAATTACGGCTATTGCGAAAAGTAGAAACAGGAGAAGGAAGCACTGAATATCCGCTGGTAGTAATTTCCATAATTTGTTTTGTCTATATATTGAACAGACTTATTGAACAATTCGCATTTTCGAAGTTTATTTTTTTGTTTGGAAAATATGTTGGTCCGTTGTAGTATTCCAGAAATAGTCTAACTATTCAAAAATCTAGAAGAACTTGAGTATTGGTGTAGAGTTTAAAGATGTAGTAAGATTTTTATGATAATTTATTCTAAGATTTTTTTATTACGAGGTAGAAAGCTGCTGAGTTTCCTCTTGAGTTAACGGTTGTATCTGTTCTTTTTTTTTTGTTTGGTGAAGTGGCTTGTCACCCAAAGTTTAATGTTCTTTGTTTTCTTCGGTAATCAATCAGTTACTTTTAGCGCTGAAAAACTTTTTTGCTGCACCGAAGTTGCCTGAGTTTCAATTACTTGGTTTGAAAAGTTTTAATCAAACGTTTATTGAGTATGTTGCTCTAAAGGTGCGCTAAGAGTCTGTATAAAGTAGGAGTGGTGAGGTGTAATTGTTGCGTTTTTTGTTATGAAGTAATTGCAACTTCTGTTGTTAGAACTGAGAATGTTTAATAAATGAGATAACCAGTTTTTGAATGGTTTGTTGCGTTGTAGGTATGATGCAGAAATGGTTCTGAATAGGGTGGAACGAAAGGTACTTTCAGCAGTTAGGAATTACCTTAAGTTTTCCAGCGACAGCAACGACTTTGGCATGAGGACATACAAATAAAATGAGGAACTGCTTTCGTTTTTCGTGATTTTTACATGTTCTTTACAGCAATGATAGGAATGGGTAGTTCATAATAAGGAGGTTGGGTATCTCTGTATGGTTATAAGCACTGTTTATGTGTAAACGTTGAG